TCGTGGGAGTGAATCTCCCTGCTTGTTAAGACACATGTGGCTCATTAAGTGCACATGAGGTATCTCAGGCTGGGGAAGGCCATGAGGGGCCTAATGATGGAACAGGCCCCCAAGGCCTCCCCAACCCACTAAGATACCTCATGCTTCCCCCTCCCTTCCTGCCACGCTTACTTACCTTGCAGAACTCACTTACCTTGCAGAAACTGTCTCCTCCCTGCTGCGGTTTCTCTCCCTTTGAGGGAGAGGAGAGTAGGCTTGGAAATGCTTTTTGCGCTGACAATGGAAGCTCCTGGGTTCAATCCCAAATTCTCTGCAAAAGATATCAAAAGAGAGGAGACAGATTTTGCAACGTAAGTGAGTCTGGTGTGGCAGAAAGGTAGGGGGAAGCAGTTGTGGGGAGGGTTGGGGAATAGCATGAATGTTGCAGAGCCTCTGCAGTCTGCCATGGTGCTGCAATATTCATAATTTTGGGATTTGCTTGTAAACACTAGGGGGTGCTGGTCGCATAACTTCGAACAAATGTTCGTAACTTGGGGCTTACCTGTACTTTTCTTTCTGTCACAGGAATGCTGGGTTATGCCTCTTTTTTAGAAACTTGATTAATGTTCTTTTGTGGGTATCTGCATATTTTCTTCCAGGGGGAGGCTACAAAAGTGATTGTTCAGTTCCAGAGGGACTTCATTGGAGTGGGCGAGGGTAGATATTAGGGGCTTTGCTCTTGGATGTTGTTTTCTTCTAAAAGTGACATTTCCATCAGTCTTGCTCTTTAGGTAGATATGTAGGGTTATTTTTTATGGAAACTGTTCCCTATTGTGTTCAATTTGTGTGTAGTCTTCTTGTTTAGGTTGGGATTTCTCACTTTGTTCATTGATTTTCAGAGTGGCTAGAATTGGCTCTAGACCTTTTACTTTTTCTTCTAGTAATTCAAGTAGTTTGCATTTAATACATACATAGTTTGGGTCTTCTTTTTTATAAATGTTTTATTAATTTTCTATTTTCACAAAGAAGTGTTCAATAGACAACGTGATGACTGAGTCCATTAATAATTTGGTGATACATATAAGTTTTTCCAACTATGTCCAATGTTACACCTGCCAGTACATCCTCTCTTCTTCAAGTAGTAACAATTTTTCTGCATTAAGCAAATACAATTCTTATTATTGTTAGTAAACATACAATTGCATATCAACATTTGTTACATTTTTCTAGTAATATCAATAATATCAGTTTAGAATATTTTCCTAGCCAAAACATATCTTAATTGCATTTGCATTCAATTTCCACTTATTTAATCCATATCCTATTTTTGCTTTTTTTTTTTCAATTTTAGTTTCCCATCCATGTTCAAAGTGTCCCAATCATTTATAATTTCAAAACAAGTTGTATTTGGGCAACCAAAAGAATTCCTTATTCCAAGTTCTTAACATTTCTTATTTTCCTTTTCATACCAAGATATAATATTCTGATTACAAATCCTAGCAATCTAGTTATAAAAATGCTTTTATTTCTAACAATCTATTCTTAACCATATTTCAAATCTCTAATCAATAATATAGCATCCCCTGTATTAGGTCAAAGCTTCTGTTTCTTTCAATCTTACTCTAGCTTTCTTTCTTTGCCAACTAACTTTCCAAGTCAGTGCATTTGGATCATTAAATAATTCTTCCTCTATTTTTATATATATTATTTGGAACAAGAGAAACAATTTGGTTAAAATGTTTTTGGAAGAGCTAGCCCATTGATATTCATTAAACCGCCTCCCTCCTTCTCTGGGTCCCCACAGTTCTATTAACGACTTTATCTTCCACTCCATCAGCTCTCCTTCCTTGTCATCGAGTATGTTCTGAAACCTTGGTTTATAAAATGTCTTTTCTGTTTCCAATATTATTGTTATATCTTCTGAGTTTTAATTTATCTGAGTCAGGTCATTTGTTTCCTCCTTTGGATCATCAATGTTTGTGTCAGCATTCTCTAGTTTTCCTTCTATTTTTTGCTGGTTCCTCCTCTGTAGTTGTCTTCTGAGTTTGTAGATTTGAATTAGAAAATTGTTCTTTTATCTCCTTTGTGTTATTAGTAACCTGCTCACAAGCTAGAATAATTGTTTTTTGTATTAATTTCAGCATGGAGAGAATTTCTATGTTTCATCAGTATTTTCTTGGTGATATGGCAAGTTAAGGCTGTTAGGAACTGATGTTAAAGTTGATATTTTATTATTTAATGCTGAGTATGAAACATCCATTTTATTTTATTTTATTTTTATAAGTAGTCTTTATAGATTTATCCAACCGACTGTCCATTCCTGAATCTCCCCTAAGCAGATATAAGTAAAGTTCAAATTTTTCTGTCCAATAAAAAATATATCCTTTCTGTCCAGGGAGAGAGAAGAATCTTTGAGGCTTGTTTAACAATCAAGATTTATAACCCAAAAAAATCCACAATGTAGTTCTGAAAGTCAGTATTGATGTTCAAAATTCAGACAGGCCAAATTTAAAATGTTTATCATCTCTGCCACATAGATAAGCAGTCTCCACCCAAGCCATGGCTGCTGCCTCAGTGGAGGGAGCGCAAGCCATTGCACTGGCAGAAAAAGGAAGTTCGGAAGTCTTAACGATGGGGGCAAGACCAAAGATGTGGGAGCTGCTGTGGTCCTCGGAGTGGACCCTGCCCAGTGGAGACTCCAGACATCCCAAGACAACCCAAAGCATCTGAGGCCAACTTACAAGCAGGGGCCTCGTGGCAATCATACTCCCCAGACCGCCGGGGAGCCAAGAGATTAGGAGCCACTGAGGACTCTGGAGAGTGGAAATACCTGTCTGCAGTCTGCAGCCAATCAGTAGAAAAGTTAGTGGAGAAGTTCGAGGGGCTGGAAATGAAGAGTGGGGAACAGCTCTCCCACTCCTCGCATGCAAGTGAGTACGATGACCGGCAGGATTGATGCTGATCTGTGCCCAAGAGAAGCCCTAGCCCCACAGATGGAGCGCGAGCGGCTTCTCCGCATTCAAAGCCACCGGCGTTAACCTCAAGCCCGGTGAGAAAGAAGAGTCCCAACCACCACATGGGATGCGACAGTCCAGGTCAACACCACTCCTCAAGGTCCCCAGAGTGCCGCTTGCAACGCAGGAGTCCCAGCCACCGGAGATATCCTGACAGACACCACCGCCACGATAGTTCCAGACAGTCAGACTATGATAACACCCCAATAGATGGCCTCGCTACCGAAGCCTGAGCCATCACCAATACTGTCGAAGCCATGATCATTACCAGCACCATGAGAGCCCTGACCGTTACTACTATCAGTCCTGAGCATCACCATAGGCACCACCCGAGCCCGAGATCCTGTGGGTATTCAACATGATTTGGTTCAGCACCTGGGGAGACTGCACGATCTGTTGGACAGGCAGCAACAGGTTGGAGCACAGCAGCCGCTGGGGAGCCTGCAGCAGTTGGGGGTGCAGCAGCCGCAGCTGGGAGGGCAGCAGCTGTTAGGAGTGCAACAGCAGGGGGGCAGCAGCCTATGATGGCGCCTCCCCTTAAAGCAACTTTCAATGCCGACCAGAGAAGCTGATTTTCTTCCTTAATCAAGTGCGTTCCCACATGAATCGAAATGCCAATTTTTACCCAGATCCAACTGCTATGGTTGATGTTGTTGCAGCTAATCTGGAAGGGGAAGCATCTAAGTGGCTAAACAATTTGTACAACAAGTAAGCGCCTGAACTGGGAGACCTCCATCTCTTCCTCCTAGGGTTGAGGGCCCAGTTCGAGGACCAATCCATAGCCTTCAAGGCCGAGAAACAAATTCACAAGATAAAGCAGGGAGGTAGACCTGCATTGGATTACGTGTGAGAATTTCACGAGGTGGCAGGTCGGATTGAAAGGTGGCCAGAGCAATCCCTAGTGTATCGCTTCAAGGAGGGGTTAGATGATCACCTTTCCCAGGCCTGCATCTACCGGGCAGTTCCCGATCAATTGCAGGAGTGGTACCAGGTGGCAGCGAGACTAGACATCGAGCTTGCTTGTTTTAAGCAACCAATTCCTCTAGAAGCCAGAGCAGACCAGACGGCCACCTCCACGAAGACCCCCAGCCATTGCGGCTGCGGAATCACCCAAGCCATCTGTTGGCCCACCAATCAAATGCTTCAGATGTGGGTAACAAGGACAACGAGTGGCAAATTGTCGGATCCCATACCCCCAACAAGGAGGTAGATTGGGACCACCGGGGAGGAAGAAATCAGCCCAACAGCTGGCAAAAGAAAAATCAAGCTGGGTCACGCAAGAACCTGTCACCCAGGTCAAGTCACCCATGCAGGAAAGCACTGAGGCCCAAGCCGGACCTACCCCCTCTCTGCCCTCCTACGATGGTAACGACGAAGGGGAGAACGACCTGATGGTGTGTCGACTGTTCCACCTTTTTCACTCTTTGCTAAACTCATAGTCCCTAAGATAGGGGTACAGATGGATTTGAAGATGCTAGTGGACTCAGGATGCTCCCAGTGCATTATCAGTTTGACAGTTGCCCTTAAGATGGGTATATGAGCAAGATTGCTCTCCAAACCCATGAGGTTTGAGCAGGCAGATGCTCTTTAATGGGAGGAACTTTAGTCACCCATCTAACCGAGCCTATACACCTAGAAATAAGTGAACATTGGGAGTTCATCCGTTTCGGAGTTGCTCCGAAGATGACTTAGGCTGTGATTTTAGGTTTATCTTGGTTAGACAAATGAAAAACTTTTATCTGGTGGGAAAGGGGGATGAGGACTGTGAGATTACCAATAGGGCCCAAAACCCCTCTTGCCTCTGCTGACGTTACCGGAGGGCCTAAGTCATCGGCAGAACCAGTAAGAATAACTGCCATTCCCCGGTCAGGCCAACCACTCATCCCCAGTGAGTACCGGGATCTAGCAGAGGTTTTTAGTGAGAAAGAGTGTGACATTCTGCTGCTGCATTGACCAAATGACTGTGCAATTGAACTATTGCCGGGGGTTAAACTCCCAAGACCGAAGATGTACGCTATGACCCCTCTCGAAATGGAGGAACTACAAGAGTATGTGAACAAGAACCTAGCAAGAGGCTTCATTGAACTGGCTAAATCCCAGGTGGGGGCAACGGTGTTGTTTAAAGAGAAAAAAGACGGGTCGCTTAGGCTCTGCATGGATTATAAGGGGTTAAATGCTGTAAGTATAGAAAACAAGTACCCCCTCCCCCTCCTAAAGGACCTACTAACCCATCTGGCAAAGGGGCGTGTCTTCACTAAATTAGACCTAAGAGAAGCATACTATCGAGCACGAATAAAAAAGGGAGATGAATGGAAGACCGCTTTTAACTGTCCTATGGGCAGCTATCAATTCAAAGTTATGCCATTTGGACTACAGGGGGCTCCAGCTGTCTTCATGCAGCTGATCAAAAAGGTGCTACACGATCATCTGTACAAGGGGTTTTTGGTGTATCTTGACATCCTGATATACAGCACGAATATGGCTGACTATGTAAAACTAGTGCTAGAAGTATTAAAGAAATTGCTAAATGCCAAACTATATGACTGTCAGAGTCCAATTATATTTCATCTCTAGTTATTGACTATGGAAAACCCCATTTCTGCCCTCTCATCCCCTCATTTGCCCAGATAGCCCTGCCCCTCACGAACTTACTAAAAACGAAGGGAGCATCCTCAGTAAAACCTAGCCAGCCACTAACATGGACAATGGAGTGCCAAGCAGCGTTTGAGAGATTAAAAAGACTTTTTTCTGCCGAACCAGTACTGAGGCACCCAGACATGGATAAGCCCTTCGTAATACAGGCAGATACAAGTGATGTGGCAGTGGGGGCTGTACTATTACAAGAAAACGATGAAGGGGTGTTGCAACCCTTTGCGTATACATCCAAGAAACTCACGGAAACGGAACAGCGCTGGCCCTTGTGGGAGAAAGAGGCATACGGGATCCGTTGGTCATTACGTGGCGCCAGTTCCTTGAAGGCAACAAAATCCCTTTCCAGGTGTGGACTGACCACAAAAATTTGGAAGCCCTGAAAACACCCAGGAAGCTCAACCCCAAGCAAGCCCGCTGGTCCCAGCATTTTCACCAGTTCCAATTTACCCTCAAATATTTGCCGGGGGGAAAGAACTTCCTGGCAGATGCACTATCTCGCATGCCCCAATATAACAGCACGCGAGCCACCGACTCTAAACCGATGATGGTAGAATCACAACTGGCAGCACCAGTAACCACCAGAGCCAAAGCTAAATTAAAACCACAGCTGGGCAGCCAAACTGGAATTGAATTCCGGAAAAGTTTGGAAACAGATGAATGGTTTCAGAAAAATAAACACGTGTGCACAATGAGAGACGGGCTGCCTTTGGTGGGGGAAAAGTTATATATACCAACAACCCAAAGAGTCACATTCATGCAGCTTTGCCACGACACAAAATCAGCAGGGCATTTTGGATTTGTAAAAACATTACACTTAATTAAACGGCAATTTTGGTGGCTATCCATAAAAAAGGACATAGAAAGTTACGTAGCCAGCTGCCCAAAGTGTGCAACTGCAAAGAGGTTGCAAGGGAAATCGCCCAGACTGTTACAAACAGTGGCAAATCCCTCAGCCCCCTGGAGGGAAATAGCCATGGATTTTATAGTGGAATTACCAGAAAGCAATGGGAATACTGTTGTCTGGATGGTCACGGACTTGTTTTCCAAACAGGTGCACTTTATCCCTTGCCAAAAGATTCCCACAGCAAAAGCCTTAGCAAAACTTTTCGTGCAGCATATTTACAGATTGCATGGGGCACCCCAACGCATCATCTCTGATAGGGGAGTGCAATTTACGTCTGCATTTTGGAAGGAATTTTTAACCCTCTTAGGGACCACTCAGGGACTGACATCTAGCCATCACCCTCAGTCGAATGGTCAATCGGAAAAATCGAACTCAGTACTTGAGCAATATTTAAGATGCTTTCTTAGTTTTCAGCAGTCCGATTGAACGGACCTACTCCCTTTCACAGAAGTTGCCTACAATAATGCAGTCCACTCCAGCACAGGTTACACTCCTTTTCAAATAGCTACCGGTCAAAGTTTCAACCCCATGCCAGAATTAACCCCATATGAACCGGTGATCCCATCACTGAAAGAATGGATGGAACAATTACAAAACACCTGGCCAATAGTTAGAAAAGCACTAGATGAAGCTAGGCAGGCATACAAAGCACAAGCCGATAAAAAAGGGTTGAGCCTACACCATTCATTATAGGAGAAATGGTGTACTTATCTACAAAATAGCTAAAGTTCCTACAACCCTGTAAAAAACTTGGACCAAAATATATAGGGCCTTTTCCAATTAAAAGAATCATAAACCCAGTAACAGTAGAATTAGAATTACCCAAAAATCTCAGGCAAATACACCCAATTTTTCATTGCAGCTTGCTGAAAAGAGAGCATCAATCATCGTTACGGCCAAAATCCCCCCCCACCTCCAATCATGGTGGAGGGTGAACAACACTTCAAAATAAAGGAAATACTAGATTCTAGGACAGGGCTTTTCAACCTTTTCACCCATTGTACCACTTTTAGGATATGGCAACATCCGAGTACCACCAGTCGCCTAGCAAGGTGTCAAAATCTTGATGATAAAAAAAAGGAAAAAAGTGATAAAGTACAGGTAGTCCTCGACTTACAACAGTTCGCTTAGTGAATGTTCGAAGTTACAATGGCACTGAAAAAGTGCCCCCCAAGCCACAGCCATGAAAGACACCTGCCTTCCCACCCGGCGGCGCTCTTCCTCCTGTCCGAGGTTTTCATTGTTGTGAGCATTTCTGTTGGGGATTGGCAGTGGTGGTGGGGTGGTGGGTGTTTGGTTTTTATTCCCCCCATCTGCTGGGTGGTTGCAGCAGGTTTTGGTCACTTCACATGACCCTGGGACAATGTGACCGTCATAAATATGAATCAGTTGCCAAGTATCTGAATGTAAATCACAAGACCCTGGAGATGCTGCAACATTCCAGCTGTTTGGTGCTTTTTCTGGACTCAGCAGAAGTGCCAGGATCAGCGCCGAGCTCCAGCTGTAGCCTGGCACTGATCCTGGTGCTTCCATTGAGCCCTGGCAGCCCTGCAGCTCCAGACATCTCTCGCTCAGGCTTATGCAGTGTTCCCACCGGTTCAGCTCATTCCCCTCCCCCGCTACCACTTTTCTAGGATGGTCGCGTACCACCTGCCAGGTGCCAATGTACCACAGGTGGTACCAATACCACTGGTTGAAAAGCCCTGTTCTAGGAGATATCATGGAGCGACTCAGTGCCTAGTTGCCTGGAAACACCTCCCTGCCTCACAAAACGAGTGGGTCCATAAACGTCATGTCAGAGCCCCGAAGCTATTAAAGAAGTTTCACACAGAGTATCCTAACAAGCCTGACTAATTTTTATACCTGTTTTGTTTTCTTTCAGGTGGATCTCTCTTATTTTTAAGGGGGCAGGATGTCAGAATCCAATTATATTTCATCTCTAGTTATTGACTATGGAAAACCCCATTTCTGCCCTCTCCGGATTCTGTCATTCGATGAAGGGGAAGGGGGGTGAACAAAGGGGTTTTATGGCCCTCACTTCCTTCGGTACAACTTCAAAGGGACTGAATGTGGATACCACCAAAAGGACTAATAACAATGGGGCCATCAGCTTTCATCTAATCCCCTCTGAAGTCTCCCTTCCACTGGCAGTGAGGAAAAAGGGGGTGGAAATGTAACACCTGGGGTTGTCGCTGGAAGGATGGTGGGATGGTGGGGTGGGGCTGTTGGGGACCCCTTAAAACCTTGAACCGTAGGGCTTTGGCCCCAAGTCCTGTCTAGAACGCCTGCAACCATTTTCTCTTAATAAAGATGCCTGTTGGAAGAAATATTCCAAGAGTTCTGTCTTCTTAAGGTGCAAAGTGGGGTGGGTCCTTACAATGACAATTTGTCAAAGTATGAGTTCCACTAAACCTGACTGGATTATTTGGGCTACATAATTTCCTGTGAGGGCATTGAAATGGACCTGGCTAAAATGAAAGCTGTAATCGAATGGCAACCCCCAAAGACTCGAAAACAGCTTTAAAGCTTTCTAGGGCAGTGGTTCTCAACCTGTGGGTCGGGACCCCATTTGGGGTCGATCGACCATTTCATGGGGGTCGCCAAGCAAGGCTGTCCACCATTTTTTTTGTCCATTTTCTCCCCCCCTTTTCCAGCGGGTGCCTTACCTCCCTTGGGCTGGGCCAGCTGGTGGTCGGCCTGCTTCATCTCTGCCGCTTGCTAGCTACGCCTCGGCCGGCGCAGGGGGCGGAACCACGCATGCGTGGCGCTCCCGGGCAGGGAAAGTCCTTGACTTACGACCGGTTGGGTAGTCCTCGACTTATGACCGGTTTAGTCCTCGACTTACGACCGGTTTAGTCCTCGACTTACGACCGGTTGGGGTCGCGGCATTAAAAAGGTTGAGAACCACTGTTCTAGGGTTTGCAAACATTTACCGTCAATTCATCCCTTCATTTGCCAAAATTACTTTACCTCTCATGGATTTATTAAAAACTGGCAAAGATAAAGGAAAGCTGCAACTGGGCCAGTCGCGAACATGGACTATGAACTGTCAGACTGCTTTTGAGAATTTGAAAAGACTATTTGTGGTTGAGCCAGTCCTAAAGCACCCCTGCCCGGGGAAACCCTTTGTGATTCAAGCCGATGCCAGCGATGTGGCTGTTGGAGCAGTACTTTTGCAAAAGAACCATGAGGGAGTCCTGCAGCCCTGTGAAAAAAGTTCACAGACTGTGAAAGAAGGTGGGCAGTTTGGGAGAAGGAAGCCTTTGCAATTCATTGTGCTCTGTTAACCTGGCGGCACTATCTAGAAGGGAGCAAGGTGCCTTTTGAAGTATGGACTGATCACAAAAACAGACACTGAAACTCCTTGCAAGCTTTCCCCTAAACAAGTATTGTGGGTGCAATATTTTAACTGGTTTAATTTCACCCTAAAGTACATACCGGGGGGGGGGAAACTTTTTAGCTGATGCTCTATCAAGATTGCTTTAGTATAAGAGCCAGCATGAAGAAGTTAATGAATAAATCATACCTACACTGCAAGCTGTGT